CCTGTGAATGAGAAAGTTCTGTCCTTTGAGTAAGGCCTAGGGGCAGGGAATTCCTGCAGCAGAAGGAGCCACCATTTTCCCTGTCCTTCCAGGAGCAGGGCCTTGGGTGTCACACTGTCCCTCCCCTCTGGGTGCAGGAATTCCTGCCTGTTCATTTTCTTACTCCTCCCTATAGCAAGCCCCACCATTACTGATGTGCTCTGCTAACAGATGCATGCACAACAGTGAATAAGACTGATAGACAAGGTCCCACCTTCATTGTGCCTTGCATCCTGGTAGGGGGCTGGGAAGGCATGAGAATGACTAAACAAGTAAAAACTCGATATGTCAGATGGTGATATATGTTGTAGAGAAAATGAATCTGCTTAATGCAATGGGAACAGACTGTATGTATGTGGTGCACGTATGTGTTATTGGGGTGGGGTGAGCTACATTTTTTGATGAGAGAAGATCTTAGGAGGCATCATTAGCCCTGATACCTGAATGGTTAGAAAGATCTAGAAGAGAGAGCCAGTGCAAAGACCCTGAGGTATACAGTACTTGGCATGTTGGTGGAATTGAAAGACTGCCAGTTTGTTAGCAGATTTGTCTTTCCTTCATAGAAATAAGCCACTATATTCATAATGCAGATCAATGAGAATGTTTTTTCTTCAGAAAAATCATTTTTCCTCCAGCTCTTGCTGGAATTCGTTACTGAGATCACTTGGATTAGTAATATATTTGTGGAACTGGCTAGCCTTGTGTGGTAGGTGTCAGTTAAAGGGGTGCCAGCCTGTGTTGGGGCCTACTGTCTTCCCCATCTCCGGCCTCAGAGCAAATCATTCTGTTGTACTTATTCTTCCATTTGTCCTTAAGAATGGTTCTGGTCCAGGAGGAAATGGAAGCCCCGCCCTTGCTCAGTGTTGTAGAACGCTGTCCTCTGAGCAGAACATCTTACCAGATGCAGCTGTGACTGCCTGAAAGAGAGCCTCAAGACCTGGCCTGTTGACAGTTCCTTATAGAAGGAGGCTTATTAGACCTCTCCTGAGGTTCAGTCATTCCTCCAGGATCTCCCTCCCAACTGTAGGCAATTCTACCCCAGTGCCATGTGGTTTGGGGAGGTGCTAGTGTATATAGAACATGGAAGGGAAGTCTCCATACTGAGTGAGACTTTTCAATGATGTGGTTGTTTGGGGGGTCACCCATGCTCCTTTACATAGTCCCATCTTCATGCTCTTGTAAGTAAGCCCAATAAATTTGTGATTCAGCAAGCTAGTTTTGGGTGGCATGGTTATTTTGGTTTTGTTGTTGGTACCCTATCTTGGGTGGATGGGCGTTTGTTCAGATCTCCCTAGAAAAAGTTAACACAACACTCAGAGAAGGGAAAGCAGCTCCTCCTGAGACTGTGAAGAGTGCTTGTCATCAGAAAAGACTTGCCTGCTTGTTCATGACCTCCCAGGCGTCCTTCCAGGAAGGGGGAAGCTGCCAGCAGGGATTGGCCAGGCGGAAAGATTAATTCCCAGTGTGGGGCACATGTCCCTTTTAGTGACTTTTTTCATCATTAAGACCTTGTTAGAACAGTGTTTAATGTACCTGGGGGTGGACTTGGTTTTGTGTGTGTATGTGAAGGCCAGACGTTGTTGTCAGGTGTCTTCCTCAGTCTCTTCTCCACTTTAGTTTTTGAGACACAGTCTCTCACTGAACTTGGAAGTCATGGATTTGGCTAGACTTACTGGTCAATATGCCCCATGGATTCTCCTGTCTTCACTCTCCAGCTCTGGCGTTACAGGCATGTGCCTGACACGGGTGAGATGAGCAGGTGGGCTGAGCATGCAGGATAGAGGATTTCCTTCAGTCATTCCTTTCTCATATCTGGAGAGTCTCACACAGAAAAAGCATTCTAGCTGTACTGTAAGTAGTAATAGCGTCATCTCTCATTATCAGCTGTTACTGTGTGCCTTACCAAAACCTGGTGGGAGTTGCCGTGAGTCTCATTCTGTAGATGTGCTAGGGTATTTGAGCATTTTGGCTCTGGTTGCCAGGTGTCTAAATGGAATCTTCCCATTGGACCTAGACTATGATTTACAAACGGTCCCTCTGCCTCTTGAGTCTCCGGAGGCACTGACTCCACATCACTGGAGAGACTACAGTGCCTACAACATGGGATGCTAATGATATGGTATGTTTGCTTTTTACTCCCCCCTCTCGTGGGCAATTCTGTTGATGACAGGCTTGCTGGTCAAATCTCAGTGTAGCTCCAGCATCCTTCCTCTGGTATTCTGGAGCCTCTCAGGACCAGTGGAGACCCATTTGCCATTCCTGCAGGAGATGGATGCCATCCCTGTGTGTACCTGGGATGTTGATTCTGGGGGCTTTCCTTGAATTTGACGCCATCCATTCTTTCCTCCTATAGTTGAGGTGATCTCCAGTCAGCCCAGCCTGTGGCTAACTAGTTTTGTTGTCTGAAGCTTCAGGGGCCACTGCTCTTCCAGCAGCTTGGGATTTTCCTGGGAACTGGCATCTTCCTGGGCCCAGGGCCAGCCCTCACCACCTGCCTTCTCTGCTCCAGGAGCATGGCCATGTCTTACCAAGTAGACTTATCAAGGAATGAACAAGTTTCCTCATCTCCAGCTAAGGGCTTGGTGATGCTGTAGGTCCTCAGGGGATGTTTCCAGGAGCTGTGGCCTGGCTCCTCTGGCCCCTCTGTGCCTGAGAGTGTTGCCCTGGGCTGGCTGAGCTACTACTCCTGGCTGGCATGGGATCAACTGTGGCTGGGTGCTCTGGCTTCCAGGGGTGGAAGTGTTGAGAGTGTTCTGTGCATAGTGGAATGAGGTGAGCTTCCCCCTCTCCCTTCTTCCCTCTTGAAAACCACCCTTTCCCAGAGTCATCTTCCTATGTCCCTGATGATGCATAGTATTTTCTCCATACATACTTGGTTTTGAACAGCAACTACTGTTTGAGGAGACCGAGCCTAAAAATACTTTAGTCATTACTGAATTTGGATACTGTCCCTTAACAGAATTCATTAAAAACACAAGGAGGCAGAGACTTAACACAGATGTAGTCATTATTCCTGATGGAGGAACAACTTTGTAATTATCGGGGT